CATGACGTCGTAGCCAGGTTAAGCTTGAACATAGTCCTGAGGATTAACACTGTTCCTGGAGGGGTTAAACTGGAGCACGTAGGTTGTATCGAAGACTTATTGGTCCTAATACTAATTCGCACAAGCGTTTAGACTCGCAATGTTATCAAAATTCGAAGAATACGTGTATCGCAATGAAATGCACAGATCGAGTTCGGTTATTATAATGCCTATGAAATTCGACCGTAAAATGGATCTACTGTACGATGACGAAATAGGTACACGTTCGGAAATTTTATTTTCCTCTCTCCCGTCACGTTAAAGCCGGAAAACACATTCCTCCATTTCCGCTCTGCTCGGTGGTACATTATTGACGAAAAGGATAAAACATCCAATGTGCATTTTGATCGCTGATATATAATACAATGTTCGCACAAGAATTATATCGTAGAAATTATATATCGCTGCTTAAATTTTGAAACAATTTTCACACAAATATTGCATTAAATACGGTACTACTTCTGAAACTCATTCACGACTACATGAACATAACATAAACATTTAACTAAATCATTAAAATTTTCTCCTGCGACGAAGGTGGAGCATTCCATCTCGTGGTTAACCCTGAGCGGGCTACGCGACTTAGCGCCACGCCGTCCGCGCGCCGCGGAAGCCGCGACGCCCAGCATTGAACTGCCCGCCTGACAGTCTCTCCTCCCAGGCTCCGTCGGAGCCTTCATTCCCCGTTCAAATTTATTTGTATTTCTTTCCATCATATATTTTTTTATCCGATCGGTTCGCCCATCATGGGACCCCCACCGCGGCGGGGGTACTTCCCCGTTTGTAAAAACTCTAGTTAGGGGCACCGAAGCCGAGAAGCAGTTTGTCGGGCGGTCAACCCTATCGGTACCAAGTGGCTCTAAGAAAACGTATTACGGGATAGGCCCGCGCCATGCATGATGTTATAGGTTTAACGTCTATCTATAGCTTTAACCCCTATCGCAAGGGCGGCGCCGGATCCGAACCGGCGCCTAACCCTAAACCTCAGACTAGACGGTGCAACGGATTACCCCCCGTCGCTCAGGGTACGAGGATACAACTGACCAGGTCGATCCCCCATACCTACGCTCAGAAACCTCGCTTCAACCCCTGCATTGGCTCCAGTTGGCGACATCGCGAGCGGTTCTCCCACGTTCAACGTGTGGTTTCACGGGCTTTTTGCCGAACATACTTGCGGTGCAATGTATGTCGGTCTTACGCATACCCTTATTACTCCCACAGAGGTCAGGTACTAACGTCGCAATGCCACCTCGGTCGTTGGACTACTATTCCCCCCTTGGTTAGTTTACAGGGAATATTCACGAGGCCCCAGCCGCAGCCCACGCAATCACGCGTTCGCACTTTCATTCATACCGTTTTGTCCGCGGGAGCCATGGATCGTCTGCGCCGCCGATGCCCAATTTTGATATTGGCGCGTCTCGGTCTCTCCCTAACCGTCACATGGAGCTGCAGACAACCTTTATGTTTTACATACAAGAAATTTTCGTGGAGATAACGGACCCCCTACAGCAGGGGATGGGGCTATGTGGGATTCTTACCTACTAAAACCCCCACGGTGAGCACGCTAACCGTGAAAGAAGAACGCCCGGACTTTGCTGCAATTGCCAGTGCGCTCCTGCAAAGAACATCCCGCGAAAATTCCTCGCTGACGTTGAATGGCATTCTCACGCATCCTCGCATACACACGCGCACACGCGCACGCCGCGAAACGGATACTTACGTGTACCTATCACGGCGCTCCGGTAAACGTCGCTAGTGCACCACTGCCGTGCGTGGCCCCACGAGTGACAGTGGTAACATTGTAGCTTCCGTGCTACCAGAACTTGATATCCAAGTATTCGGATCCGCCCGCATTCCTCCACCTTCCGGGCGGCTGCGAGTGGGTACTGAATCCACACCGAGTCCAGCTCCGATGGGGAGCATTGGATTTCGCCGGTCCTCACCTTTCCCTCGTCGTATCACCCGCCTCGTGCCAGAGTTAACGCCTCCTCGCAGGGTGTGACGGAGTTGTCGAGTCCTGCCCGAGCTCGACTTCCTTGGTGGGCCGCATCATTCGGACCTCAGTTTCCTCCAAGGCCTCCGTTACCTTGACAGTTGGAACTGTCGTCGTTTCTGTCCCATCGGTGCTACTCATCTCATACATAAATCCACCGTATACTTTTGAACCTCAGCTCACCGATGCCGATATCTGCGATATTAATCTTTGATCTCCCGATCGAGATCACCTGGGCATAGGAGAGCTTACAGCCCTCTGACATCGTTAACGCCATTGACGGCCCTCGGTGGGGGTCGCTTCACGATGGGGACAGGCTTGGCCCCTCCTTTCCCGTCGCCGTTATCGTCTTTCTGGTACCGTATTCGCGGCTTCCCGCCCGATCTTCTCAACTCAAACCGTTAACCAGTGATCGTGTTTCGCAGGAGCGGGGATCTGGCCTTAGCCGGCTAGCCGCGAGGATGATAACCTCTATAAAAATTTCTTAACCCTTAAGGCAATGGCGCGTAGCCTTGGGATACCACTCCGTCACTGAATAAATGGGGCAGTGGCTGATGGGAGCATCAGCCAGTGAGCGGCTACCTCCTGATATCTGCCAATTACCGGGGCATATGTAGGCTTCACTGGGCATCGAGACTATGTTTAAGATGACTAATATTTCCCTCTCATTGTAGAAACAAACAAAACGAAAAAGAAATTCAGAAACGCAGAAAGATGGTAAGCTCGACGAGCAGCTCCAAAACCTGCAAAGTTTGAACCAAATCGCTGACTCGAAGGACTTGCATTCTCCTTGTGAGCCTAAATAAGAACTTTGCGACACAGTCCTACGCACAAGTTACGGAGTCTAAGAAGAATACGAAAGATATTGATGCAAATCGTATAGAATGACTGTCGTCTCGTAATAAGCGAGATGATAAGAGCGAAGTTATACTCATTAAACCAATAAGGGATAATGACAACAGGAGCAACGATGAGCTCGAGCTTTGTATGAAAAAGGAGCTTGAGGCCAACCGGTCGTAGCTCAAGTCAGAGAGCGTCAGACAGATGAGGCGCAAAGGACTTATTGTCGAAAATAACAAAGATGTCGATCTCATTAAGAGATCGACGCTTGAGAAAACCAAACTGAGAGCCGAGGGTCCAAATTTCAATCCGACTACCATAATATACGTAGATATAGTTTTTATTGGCAAATATAGCGAATCAAGGATATTTTTTAATTCCAATATATTTTATTTACGAGCTAAAGAGACTTAAGTGTAAAATACAAACTAAAAGATTAAACTAATTACGCAATTCATACTCGCACGCCAACTCTTCGAACTGTCACCGACTCGATTCTTTTTCAAACTTCGTGTACAAATCAACCTCATTTAAATCTTGCACTCTGTATTCTTTCATACTCAAGCTTTCTTCCTCAATTACGCATTTCCCATAGCCTCGCCCTCGATGGGTCACGTACCCTAAGCATTCAGGCGCCTTTCGCTCTTCACTTGCATTCTATACAAACAAATATCTCGTTCATCCGATCCTTGCACGCGGTCACTCGTCCTTCCACGTGCACTTTAGTCGTTCCTCTAAATATTAAGTCCGAACCCTAGGTTGCTCTTTATTGCCCGTCACCAACTAAACAGGCCCAAGGGTTCCTTCGCGTTCACTCTCAATCTTACTATTTCTACGTATATGACGTCGAGAAAGAACACAAAAAATCGAGGAACTCAAGAACGAGTTCATAAATAAAAATTTTCACCCTGAAGAGACCTATTAAAATTTTACAGCAAAGATGCAATTTCGCAATTACTTCAAAGCAAAAGAGAAGTCGGTAAATTGGGTAATGGAGGTACCAGGAGCACAATATAAGGAGTTGTTAAAAAGACGCAAAGTCTATATGATGTGGAGATCATATAGATTTAGAAAGTATGTTAGTATTACACGGTGTTTCAGATGCCACGGATACGGGCATATAGCCAAGGCGTGCAAATTTCAAGAACAAGTTTGCGACACACGTGGCAGCGGGGAACATTATAGGAACAAATGCAGAAACGAGCAAAAAAGGAAATGAGGTTGTCATTGAGATGGATGCAAATATACCCTCAAAAACTTGGCACTCAAAAACCTCAGACGAACGTGGAAAAGCCCTGGAGAAATTTCTTTCTGCAAATAACCTTCGTTTGCTTAACGAGCACGACCAACCGGCCATGTTTCTCCGTCCCAGATGTGAAACAGATATTCATGTCACACTCGTAACATCCAACTTGCTTGGAAAATGCAAGGATTGGGTCTCGCTAAATTAGCTTAACAAGCGATCACAGCCTAATTACGACAACCCTCGTGTGGGGGGAACAATAGGAGAGGAGCCCCGTTAAACGGACTCGGTGGTTATAACACCAAGCGTGTTGATTGTGAAAAATTCTTGAACTCAGTATGCGAAAGCATGAACGGCGCAGCACACGCTGGAGGAATGTCCGGCGTGGGCTCGCGAGCGCCAGGTACTTTGTCGCGTGGTGGGTCGGGACCTTTCACTCTCTAATATAAGCATGAAATGCAAAGAAATGTCCTGCTATTAAAAGAGTAAAAATAAGAAAACAGAAAACGCCGCAGCAACGCGGCAAGAGACAAGAGGCAGCAATGAGCGGGAGCTCGGTGGCTGCATAGCTGTGACATAATAAATAAATAATCTCCCGTTGTAACCTAGATCAGGGTGATCACGAGCTGGCGTGTGGGGGTTTTAGTGGGTAAAAATCCCACATAACCCCCCGGCCCCTCCCCTAAGGGGGCCGGGTATCTTTGGAAGATTTCCCCTGAAAAAAAAAAAAAAAAAGAAAGGTGACCCGATGAGTACCTTCATCTTCTCGTTGGTCACTGACAGGGTTCTGCGCGCTATCCCAAATACGATTGGATACGCGCTTGATCAGGGTCATCTCATCAATGCTGTTGCATACGCGGACGACATCTGCTTGATCGCGTCGTCCTCCACTGGTATGCCGGCAGCGTTGACCGCGGCTGAAGGTGCGGCTAGACAACAGGGGCTCGCGTTTAATTCATCTAAGTGCGTTGCCACTTCCATAGTGCCATCTGGACGGGACAAAAAGGTAAAGGTTCTCACCGTGGCCCAATTTGCCTTGCTGGATGGTGCCCCCATTCGTCAGCTGGGTCCAGTTGATGAGTGGCGATACCTGGGTGTAAACCTGAGTCCGGTAGGCTTGAAAAAGGCGAGTCGGAGGTGAAACTTGAGCGCGTTTCGCGAGCGCCTCAAAATTCTGAGGTGCTTCTTGATCATCAGATATTGTCATCTTCTGGTTTTGTCTGGCTGCACCCTGAAGGTCCTCCGTCATCTCGACTTTCAGGCTAGAGCGGCGGTCCGGAGATGGCTCCGGCTGCCAAAGGATGTTCCGATTGCCTACATTCATGCGGTGTGCAGACATCGCGGGCTTGGGATACTCTTCTTTGTAACCACCATACCGGGCCTGATGACAGAGCGGTGCATGTACATAAAGGACTCGTCCTTCTCATCCGCTAGCATAGTGCATGCGTCGCTCTGGGTCCAGAACAAAATCCACTGGACCGATGGAGTCCCAAACGTCAACGGCAAGAGGCTCTACAGCTCTGAACATCGAGCTAAGCATTGGATCAGGCGACTCTATGAGTCAGTGGATGGGAAGGAGTTGCGGGACTGTGACAAATCCACGGCTTCGACCAGGTGGATTGATGCGGGTAGCCTGGGTGTATCAGGTAGGGACTACATTCAGTACCATCATATCCTCACTAACAGTCTCCCGACCCGAGTTCGCACGTCAAGGGGTCACACGTGGTACTCAAAGTTGGGCATGTCTGCTGAGGAGGCGATTAAAAAGGAAGATCTTTTTAGACATGGAAACGAAATATACTTTGGTGTACTGTTGGGGCAACGCTCAGGTATGTGTAAGAGCCGGGCAGTGAGGTCAGTGGACATCGAACGGTATTGTCCGAGGGTGGTGATCTGTGAGCCAGGAGAGAAAATGAGTATGATAGGGCATTGGATCGATAACGTCAACGCGTATTCCAACTTAGCGGCGGGAACAATGGAGCCACCCAACTGGCACTTGTTCGAGTCAATGACCTTCTGTTCAAACACTCGCCCGATTGGAAGTGGCCTATATACGACAAGGACATGGCACGTCATGGGAACGTTGGCCTCGTGCAGGGGTCGTGCACACCAACATCAAGTGCCGAGCTGGTTGCGACTGCACGGAGACAGCCGCGCACATCATCCAGTCCTGTTTTCGTACACACGGAGGCCGGGTCAAGCGGCATGATGCTATTTGCAGGACACTGGCTGACCATCTGCGGTCGCGTGAAATGAAAGTTTATGTGCAGCCGCGCCTTCGAACAACTGAGGGCTTAAGAAAGCCGGACATTGGAGCAGCCAAAGAGGACCGAGGGTACATTGTGGATGCTCAGGTCGTCAGTGGGATTGTGCCGCTCGATGACAGTCATGGGAGAAAGGTGGATAAATATAATACCACCTTCGTTAAGGAGGTAGCAGCCGAGTTATTGGGCATCCCACCTTCTTCCGTAACGGCTTTGTCCTGCACCATTTCTTGGCGTGGTGTATGGAGTGGCGCATCCGCTCAGGCGTTGCAGAGCGATCTCTGTGTCCCTGTTGGACCGGCATTGCGACAAGGGTGATTCAGGGGTCCCATACCAACTGGACCCGTTGAAACCAGATAACATCTGTGGTTCTGGTAGCGCGTGAGGGTGTTGGGTGATTCGGGCACATCCCACCCTAAAAAAAAAAAAAAAAAAAAAATCGTTCATCATGCCTTAAGAGATCATAGATGTGCCTATCCTCCACCCCCTCGTGGTACCACCGGATAACGAGGCACCATAACACCTCGGTGCCTCGGCTAACGGCGTAGGCTTCATAGGTCCTTGGGGTTGCCAGCCCCTTCGACCTTCACATGTTGGCACAAGAAAAACCAAGCCTCGGATGAAAAACAACGAAGAATCCACAAGAAAGGAAAAGACAACGTAGTAGCAGACGGCTTATCGAGACTATTCCCTGCTACAATTATTAAAGATGAACGAGTAAAACAACGTAAAGATTATAGACCCTCGAGATTTAGAAGACTCACTACCTGAAGAATTGGGTACACCCTCAACCATAACTAACCAGAACGACGAAAATGAATTATACGAACAATACACGGACTGGAAGACATCACCAACCAGATGTACACCTATAAAGTTAGAAGGTAACAAACCATATTGGACTCAATTATCTTACGAGTTACTAGGTCCATATGACGAAGAGCAATGGTTAATCAAACTCCATTCACTAATGGCATTACAACAAGACCAACGGAACATCAAATTCGGAAAGCACGTCATCAAAGGATTAGAACTAGTCAACATGCAATTAATGCCCAGATTCTTAATGAAAGATTACGAGGACAAGACATTAAAATTTTCGACAAGTCCGATAAAGGAACTTAACAAAGAAGAGATTGAACAGATCTTACGAGAAAATCATGATCTTCGACAACACTTAGGAGAAAACAAAACTATAGACCTAATCAAGTCAAAACATTATTGGCAAAATATGGAAAAGGATATAACGGAATACATCAGAAGTTGTAAAACGTGTCAAACCCACAAACTAACCAGAATAAGACATCGAGAAGAAGCAGTTGTCACCGACACGCCAGAAAATCCGAACGACAAAGTTTAGACATTATCGGATCACTGATAAGAATTAAAACAGGAAATCCAATTTATCCTATCAATTCAAGACTGCCTAACGAAATACCTCGTGTTAATTCCTTTACCTGACCAACGAGCACAATCTATTATCAACTCTTTCTTAGACCACTACATATATATATGTTCTCTTCACCAAAGCACATACTTACTGACCAAGGACAAAACTTTATTTGTAGACTAATGGTAGAATTTGAAATCTTATTTAGAATCAAACACGTAAAGACAACTAGTTTCCACCCTCAATCAAACGGAAACCTTGAAAGAACCCACGCTATGATAAAAGATATGATCAGAACTAATGTAAGTCAAAATCATCATGACTGGGATAAACATTTGAAATATATCAGTTTAGCTTATAACACTTCAATTCACGCGGGTACGGGCGGTTATTCACCGTTTGAACTCACCTTTGGGAGACAAGCAAATCTGCTCTGTGCAGTTGCTACGACACCCAATCTTTCTAAAGATACCCTTATACAATTATGGAAACAAAGACATCTAGAATATCTAAGGACTGCAAAACGAATAACAAGGAAGAATAAAAAAAAATATAAAATTACTCAGGATAATAAAATGAAACTTAGAAATATTTATAAGAAAGGAGATTTAGCATTATTCCACAATGAAAGTAAAAGTAACAAATTAACTCAATAATGGCTAGGACCATATGAGATACACGAAGTTAATACTCCCAACTATACAATATTCGTATATGATAAATTAGTAAATGCTCATCGAAATAGAATGAAACCTTACTATTCCAGATTCAACTGATCAGAAGCGGCGACATAATTCTACAAGAACTCGACAACGATCAAATAATCACTGAAAAACTTAACACGGCATACATTTATAACACTGAAACTAAAATTACACTAATATTTAGCACAAAAGAACTAAT